AAAGATTTTCTGAAGAAGGGTCCAGACCCGAAACATCAGCTTTCCTGCTCCTCTGATGCTGCTTGGCCTGCTGTGTTCATCCAGCTCTACACCTTGTTATCTCAGATTCTCCAGCATCGGCAGTTCCTACTATCTCTGGGACTTTCTATTTACTTGCCTTTGCTGCTTCCCTCCTGCCCCAGATTTAATCGTCACCTGAGCCCCATCCAAGGGACTGCCAATTCCAGTTCCACCCCTGGCCACAGACTTGGATATGCTGTTTGTTTGATTTTCATATGTTCAGGTGATGTGGGCTGAATCAGAATTTATTGCCATCTCTAATTGCCCCTTGAGAATGTGATGGTAAGTTGGATTCATGAGCCTGTTTGACTCCGACTCTGTTCAGTTTAGGAAACCTGGTCAACTTGGGTGAGTTGGGCCAAAGGGCCTGTTTCCGTGCTGTATGATTCTGTGACTATATAATTCCTGCAGTCTGTGTGTTGTTGTTAGGGAGGGTATTCCAGGATTTTGACCCAGCGAAGGTGAAGGAAAGGCGATACATTTCCAAGTCAGGATGTTTGAGTGGTATGGAGAAGAACTTGCAGGGGTTGGTGTGTTCCCATGTATCTGCTGCCTTTGTCCTTTTTAGGCGGTAGAAATTGTGTTTAGAAGGTGCTATTGGAATAAATTTGGTGAATTTCTGCAGTGCATCTTGTAGTTGGTACACACTGACAGCTCCAGCGTCCTATTTGACCTAACTTCAGCTTTTGATTCCATACTCTCTCGAACATGCACTATACCTACTTATGTCTTGCTAACATTGTCTGTCTTGCAACCTCTACCCATCTCCATGACATTGTCCTCCTTTAACTCTATTCAGCCCTTTTGCCACGTAAGCTCTCTTCCCTGCTTTTGTCACCCTGACTTGATTTACTGCAGTGCTGAGTTGGATGCGATCCAGTGCTCCATGCTCCAAAATCTTCGGCACATTGAGAAGCCTCCTGTCCAAACTTGTGTTAAGTTCTGCTTGACTTTCAGTTCTGTCGTTGCTGATTTACACAGACTTTTGTTATTTCAAATGTTTGGAAAGTTATGAATCCAAGTCTTTTTATTTAAGCCCAATAATGGATTTCCCACGCTCTCTTTATAGGCTTATTTAGCTTTACAACTTCCCTAATATATAATTTCCCACACTCGCCTTTTGTGCATCACTCCTCCCTTGGTTGCCTTGACTTTAGCCGGCTGGAATTCATGCCTGAATTCATTGCCTTAAACTCTTTTCCCCCCCCCTCCCTTCCATCTCTTTCTCCTTGATTTGACATATTTGATCGAGCCTTTGGTCACCCTTCCTAATGTGTTCTCCTTTGCCTTGATAGGTCCATTTCTTCATTGCCCCTCTAAACGACATTGGGATGATTTTCATTTTAAAAGTGCCAGAATATTATGTTCTGCTGCTTGTAAGTCTAGAATTAATTTTTTGTTAATATTTTGCAGGTGTTTTTGTGCTCCTTTCTTCATTGATGATGAGTGTTGGAGGAATATCAGCTTCACGTTGGCTCCATGTCCGTCTGCTCTATGATACTCTGATGTCACCAATGAGCTTTTTTGAGCGAACCCCTAGTGGTAACTTAGTGAATCGCTTCTCCAAAGACATAGATACAATAGACTCGATGATTCCAGTCGTGATTAAAATGTTCCTGGGATCACTGTTTAATGTTCTTGTTTCTTGCACGGTGATTTTGATAGCCACTCCAATAGCTACAGTAATCATTCCACCCTTGGGATTTCTCTACATATTTATACAGGTCAGTACTAAATAATTTAAAAAAAAAAATTGTGTAGAAGATTATTCAGAATTTTCCTATCTGCTTGTTAATTACAGCGATTATGAATTTACTTTCATTCTGATTTAATATTTTATCTGGTATGATTATTTTCTTCTGCTGGGTTCAGCAGCTGCTAAAAGTTCATATTGTGCAGTGAAGGAGGGAAGACTTGAACGGATTTTAAAAGAATTGTTGTGCTGCAGATCATTAGAACATTCATGTAGGTTGACATCATTGGATTATGGAATACCAAGTACTTTAATCTGCAACAATTCCACTTGAGAGTTGCTCAGAAGAGGAAAGTAATTCCATGACAGCTCCGATCGTGGACCACTGGAGTGTTTGGATTTCTGATCCTGGTTAAAAACCATTTGGTTCATTTATATGACTGCCTTAGTCAATAATACATTTTTTGGTTAAAAATTGATTACTGATCTATAAATTCAGACACTTGAAAAATATTATCTGAAATGATAGATGATAAACTATATCTCCAGTCTCTAAGCTGCTTTAAGGAAATCTTGTTGTTGGCCAATTATTGTAGACATTGGCAGGTTGGTTACCTCAGTTGGCTGGTTTGCAATGTAGAGTGATGTCAGCAGTGGGGTTCAATTCCTGCACCAGCTGAGGATATCATGAAGAACCTTCTTTCTCCGCCTGTCCGTCACCTGTGGCGCAGTGACCTGAGGTTAAACCACCACTAATCATTTCTCTCCAGTGAGATTGAGCAGCCCTATGATCCAGTAGGTCTGTGGTGACCTTACCTTTTTACGATAGGTCCGAAGTCAATGATACCAGGTTATAGTCCAACAGGTTTATTTGAAATCACAAGCTTTTGGAGCGATGTTCCTTCAGGTGGTGAAGAGAAGCACATGGGCACAGAATTTCTAGGCAGAGAGATCAAAAGATCTTACAAATGGGTGTGAATGGAGTGTCAACAGGCTGAATACAAGTCTCTGCAGGTGATCAAAAGTGTCAGACAGTGTGAATAAAGTGTCAGCAGCTGAACAGCAAGTGGAGGGGTGACCTATGGTCTGATTAATTGAGGCAAAGAGGTAATTATAAAAAATTTAAAAATGAGGTGGTGCTGGAGACAAACCAAATAACTGGAATCACATGATAGGTCTAAGAGTCACATGCCAAGGGTCTAACCAAAGTAACAAGTAATTCAAAACTGTAGAAACTAATTAAGGTAGAGAGATCATAACAAGTTATTAAGGTGATGGTGTCAAAACAGGACAGTAAGGAAGATTTTACAAATACAGAACAGTATGGAGGGGTTATGTGTAGTGCAGCATGAACCGAAGATCACTAGTAGTCATTAATAGAGGACAGAATTTGTTTTTGTAAAGTTGTGGAAAAATTAGGACTCAAACTAAACATTTTCTGTTGAGGTACCTTTTTGAAAAGTTTTTGTTTAAAACCCAAAACAAAAACAAAATACTGCAGATGCTGGAGACAGGAATAAAAACAATGTGCTGGAGAAACTAAGTCGGTCTGGCAGCATCTTTGGGGAGAGAAACCCAAATTAACATTCTGAGTCCAATATAACTCTTTGGAACCAGTATGGATCTAGAATAGAAGTAGTATCTCTCAGCCTGGCAGATGGAAAAATAAAGTGATACACACAGTCAACTGCAAGTTGCAACTTCTGTGCACCACTAGTTGCATTTTTTGTGGTACTCTTTATTTTTCATATTCTAATTAACAAATTCTACAAGTACATTAAGAGCAAGAGAGCAACTAGAGAGAGAGAGAGTAGGGTCCCTTTAAAGATCAACGAGGTTGTCTTTGCGGTGAACCTCAGGAGATGGGAGAGATATTAAATGAATATTTTGGTCAGCTTTTACTGTGGAGAAAGAAATGGAGGCTAGAGAACTCGGCAAAATAAATATATATGTTTTAAAAACAGTTTACGTTACAGTAGTGGAAATGCTGGAGGTTTTAGAAAATATAAAGGTGGATAAATCCCTGGGACCTGATTTCGTGTATCCTAGGACTTTGTGGGAAGTTAGGGAGGAAATTGCGAGGTCCCATTGCAGAAATATTTGTATCATTTTTAAATACGGATGAAGTGCCAAATGACTGGAGAGTGGCTGATGTTGTGCCTTCGTTTAAGGAGGGATGTAAGGAGAAGCCTGGGAACTATAGACCTGTGAGTCTGACTTCATGGTGGGTAAGTTGCTGGGGGTGATTCTGAAAGATAGGATTTATATGCATTTGGAGAGGCAAGGAATGATTAGGAATTGTCAGTATGGTTTTGTGCAAGGAAAATCATGTCTCACTAACTTGATTTTAGTTTTTTGAGGAAAAAACCAAGATTGACAAGGATAGAGCAGTAGGCATTCGCAGTGGGGTTAAAATTTTATCAGAGATAGTAGGAACTGCAGATGCTGGAGAATCTGAGACAACAAGACGTAGAGCTGGATGAACACAGCAGGCCAAGCAGCATCATGGGAGCAGGAAGGCTGACGTTCGGGCCTAGACCCTTCAGAAAAATTTTATAAATGATTTTGATGAGAATATAGAAAGCATGGTCAGTAATTTTGCAGATTGAAGAGTCTGTTTCCATTCTGTATGGCTCTATGACCCCAAGATTGGCGGTATGAATGGATAGAGAAGAAAGTTATCTAAGATTACAAAGAGATCTTGATCAATTGGGTCAATGGTCTGAAGAGTGACAAATGGAGTTTAATTCGGATAGTTACTGGGTATTGAGTTTTGGTAAACAAACAAGGGCAGAATATGTGCAATTAAAAGTAGGGCCTTGGGTAGTGTTGTCGAACTGAGACTGAGACCTAAGGGTTCAGGTACATAATTCTTTTGAAGTTTGCATTACACATTGGGTGTTTTAAGAAGGCGTTTAGTATGCTTGCCTTCATTGCTCAGACCTTTGAGTATAGGAATTTGGACATTATGTTGAGGTTGTACAGAATATTGAGGCCCCTTCTGGAGTACCATGTCCAGTTCTGGTCTCCCTGTTACAGGAAGAATACTATTATTCTGGAAAGGGTTCAGAAGAGATTTACCAGGATGTTTCAGGGAATGGAGGGTTTGAGTTATAAGGAGAGGCTGGAACTTTTTTCACTAGAGCTTAGGAGGTTGAAAGGTGACCTTATAAAGGCTTACAAAATAACGAGGTGTATAGATAAAATGAATGGCAGTTATCTCTTCCCTAGAATGGAGGATTTCAAGACTAGGGGGCATATTTTAAGGTGGGAAGAGAAGGATTTTAAAAATAGACCTGGAGGCTTTTTTTTTTACACAGGTTCATTTGCGGAATGAACGTCTGGTGGATGTGGGTACAGTTACAACATTTAAAAGAATTTTGGATAAGTACATGAACAGGAAAGGTTTGGAGGGATATGGACCAAGCACAGGCAGGTGGGACTAATTTAGTTTGGGATTATGGTCAGCATGGACTGGTTGGGCCAAATGGTCTGTTTCCGTGCTGTATGACTCTATCTGACATTCTGACCATTGACTATCTAGTTTTAATGTAGCTGGAACGAACAGTGCCTTTTTTTTCAGTTACCTGCTTGACAGGAGTATGTATATTGGTTAACAATACTGATTTAAGTGATTTTGTTTATAATCTGAAAGTGAATGAAAGAAACTTTGGAATAACAGCAATTCGTACAGGTACTTATTGAAGAAAAACTTTTCAAAAATGTACCTCAACAGAAATTAGCTGCGATTTGTTTTTTTTATTCTACGACATTTCAAAAATGCTGTTCTCTAATAATGCGTACAATAACAGGCCAGCAGCAATATTTCCTTGCAGCAGTTTTGAGACTGAGACATAGTTTGTCATTTATTGCTTCAGATATTTTTCTAAATGTCTAAAGTCACACATCAGGAATCAATTTCTTTTAAAGAATCAGATCAAATTTCATCTCGTTCATTCCAAATATAGTTTTTGAAAAACATGTATGTTATGGTTAGTGACAGACTACCACCCTTCCTGATGCTGGAAGAAAGCAATGTCCCTGGACATGTCTGTCTGGGCCTCCGGATTACATTGGAGGTCATTGATGGAATTTGAACCATAGCAAGTGATGGAATTTCAAAATTCTATGAATAAGTCTGGAATACAAACCTAGGCTAGGTGATGCTGCAAAACCATATGCAATTTGTTGTTTGTTCTTTTAAAAAAAAAAAAAAAAAATTCTAGTTCAGTAATGTCCTTTTTTAGAAATGAAATCTGCCATCCTTACTTGGTCCGGTCTACATGTGACTTCAGACCCATAGCAATGTGGTTGGTGGTCAACTGCTGTCTGAAATGTCTTAAGGCTACTCTGTTCATGAGCAGTTTAGGAATGGGAAATAAACTCAGGCTTTGCCAGTGACGCCCCCTCATCCTGTCAACTAATAAAGTCGTGATCTTTATCATTCTATCTAATTACATAGGCACTGATGGCAAGAGGGTGTATAATTTATAATGTGTGTCACATTCTGGATTTCATAAACTGGACTAGATAGAAGATATTTTCTGAAACAGATAGAAAGCAAACATTATAATGATAACAAATGCTTTTGATATTCTGAAATTCTAAAGAGGTTTTGCTCTGTTCCATTTAATGCGTGGAATACTTCATTTCACAAAAATCATTTGCCATGTGAAAATTAATTTACTTATGAAGGTTTGTATATTTTGAAATTTTGTAATGTAGATTTGAAATTTTCAAAGAGAAGTCACCAGTCTCTGTTTGCAATATGACCCAGTGAAAATAATTTGGAATTTAGGTGCATGTTATGTACCATGTTAACTGGATTTGACCCAGCTACTCATCTGGCATTTACCTGCAGTTCAGTTTAAAGAGAAGGTAGCTTTCCTTCTTTGAGAATTGCAAATACGCAGATAGGCACTTTTAAAGAAAAATCAAAAATGCGAATTGTAGCCGTATCATGCTAGAGATTATACTCAATGCTTATGGGAATCTCCAAACATTTCTCTGCAATTGGAGAAAAATTACTTTAAATATGTTTTTGACAGTTATTTTAAAATGCTCACAATTGCAGAGGTTATGAGCAGAAATAGCATCAGGTTTTGGAAGAGATGTGACGTAGCTTAATGTTATTATAATAAATGTTTTTCCTGACATAAAGATATTTATTGTTCTACAGCAAATAAATTGAAACAGATAGAAATGTCTGTATTTATGCCCAGATTATTTATTTTAAGGTAATAGCATCAGTGGTAAAACAAACTTAAATGTGATAATTGTAATTTTTCCAGTGCTTTGAGTTTGCTGTGCCATTGCTGAGCTTTCCTACTTGGAATTGTTTTTTCTTCAACCCTAGTCTATCTTATGCTGCACTTGTTAGAGGAAGACTCCCATGTGATCTTGTCAATCTACTTTCTCGATCTTTACCTCCCTGTCAGCAAGCCCATTTAATGAAACATCCATATACATCATATCTGCTCATCTATTCTATGATGTCTCGATTGGTTATTGACTCACTGAGGCTAAGCATCTCCAATATTGAAAAAATTATGGGAGTTAGTTTTTCAACAAATGAGATATTTTTAATTAAATATATAAAATCAGAGTTCAGACTAGCTGTCTTAAACAGAGAGAAGAATAAAGGTCTTATTGGGTCCTTTCAGTAGTGATTCTGTAATTCTTTTTGTAGTTAATATTTTATTTAACAAGAAACTAAAGCCCAACAAGTTTGCATCATGTCTACAGCACCTACTGTACATGTCCATGTTTGGTTTTTATAATTGAGTTATTGGTCTCCCTGCTCCTTCTGCATTTATCTCTCCAACACTAATGTATTGGTTGTAACCTAAATTTGATGTGGCAGACTTCCAGTTTGATAGTGGGCATGAATTTGGAAGAGGAGGCACACTTGCTGAGTATGTGTTAGTAAAGCAGACTGAAGGGGAAGGTGTGGGTTGTACCTCCTGTGACAAATCTAGGGTGAGGGTATGTGAAAGATGGGGCTGTTCTTTTTAAACCAAAAACACACATGCCTCTAGTTTGATAGAAATAAAACTCTGAACTTGATGTTTCTTCCTATTTTCAGAGATATTATGTGGCTACCTCACGTCAGTTGAAGAGATTGGAATCAGCTAGCCGATCCCCCATCTTTTCAAACTTTAGTGAAACGCTGCTTGGTGTCAGTGTTATCCGAGCTTTTGGAGAGCAAGAACGTTTTATACATCAAAATGATGCCAGGGTAGATGAAAACCAAAAAGCTTATTATCCCAGTATTGTTGCCAACAGGTAATCCAATAATCTTGCTGTGCTTCTACATTTGGGTCATTCACACCATTGTGTCTTGGGAATGCAGAAATCATTAAAAGTGAATTCCCTTGAAGGTTTCAGTGTAATTAGTTCTGATTGTCGAACCAGATTTAGTGTGAGCAAGTGATGCTTATTATTTGTGCACAGGCCTTAAACAATGAATGCATAAATTCATGGGCAAGGGAGCAGGAGAGCTGGTTTGACTGATCCTATGAAATTAAGATTAACTATTTTTCTCTTGTTAACATCCACCAGGTGGCTGGCTGTGAGACTGGAGTTTGTTGGCAATTGCATTGTACTTTTCGCTGCCCTGTTTGCGGTAGTTTACAGAGATACTGTCAGTCCTGGGATTGTTGGGTTGTCTGTATCATATGCCCTACAGGTATGGAGAATCAAGTTTACAATTCCAATACTATCACTCATTTCAATTACTTTGTAATTGGACTACATTTTGGCTGCTTCCTTAGAACTGTAGCAAGTTTAAAATTTCACTGCCCTTTTGTGCTGATCAGTTTAGCCTGCTGTACTCCTTTCAGTCTTTTTTTTAAAATTTTACTTTGGGCTGCTGGTAAGACTTTTTTAACCACCTTGAGAAGGTGGGGTGTGACTTGCATGTTCCCACAATGTTGCTGCTTGTGTCCTTGGCAGGTTGCTGCAGCGTTCTCTGTATGGTACAGACTGCAGTCACAGAACACCAGTAATGGTAAGGGTGGACAATGAGCCTGGTGACGGGTGTCAGATCAGGAAACCGCTCTTTACTGAGTGGTGTACTTTGTGGGGACACTCCACAGGCACAGCAAGGGCATGTTCCATTGTGCTGCTGAATTGAAACCTCCTGGATGGTTGGCAGGCTATGAAGGAGGTGAGGAAGTGGTGTCACAAAGTACCCCACCCTCTATTATACTAATGAGATCTAACAGAGTGCTGTTACTCTTGTACACCATTTGAGTTGCTAAAGTGATGTGAAAAATATTTTTCTGCCCTGAAGCAAAGTACAACAAGGTTAACGGACCCTTTGTTTTGTAAAGTTGTCATATAGAGGTTTATAAAATCATGAGCATAGATAAGTGAATGGCAGATGTCTTTTCCCTAGGATGGGGTATTTCAAGACTAGGGGACACATTTTTAAGGTGAGAGGAGAGAGATTTAAAAAAAGACATGAGGGGCAAGTTTTTTTTTTACAGAGGGTTGTTTGCATGTGGAATGAATTTCAAGAAAGTGGTGGATAGTGGGTATGAGTACAGTGTTTAAAAGACATTTGGATAGATACATGAATAGGAAATGTTCGGAGGGATAGGAACCACGAGCAGGTGGGTGGCACTAATTTAGTTTGGGATTATGTTTGTTTGGCATGGACTGGTTGGACCGAAGGGTCTGTTTCCGTGCTGTACCACTCTGTAATGTCATACAGTCAGTAACTGGAGAATACCTTGCATCATGAGAGAATGCCTCACTCTTAAAATGTGCGGGTTACGTTTGTTTTGGTTTGCAATCACTTTGTTAGTAATGAAAATTTAATTTCAATGAGAGTAAAGTAACATTTAGTTATTGTCTAACATATTGACACCATCTTAGAATTTACATAGCATTTAATTCATACACATCATTTTATTCAAAAATGTTTTATGTCTAGATTCCAATGCTTGTGTTAGGAAGATATTTCCCCTTGATTTTGCCATTTGGCAAATTAAACAGTTTTAGAAAAAAAGGTCAGGAGCTTGCTCCCCAAGAGTTAAATGAATGTATCAAAGGATACAAACAGGGTCAGCATAATTGGTTCAGATAACCCTGATTAATCTGAATGTTAGATGAGAACAATGGGCTAAATGTTCTGCTCCTGTTCCCATGTTCCTAAGAATATCTCATGATTATTTAGGTAACATCAACATTAAACTGGATGGTACGCATGACCTCTGAACTGGAAACTAACATTGTTGCAGTGGAAAGAGTGCAGGAGTACACTGGCACTCCCAAAGAGGTAAGATTCAAATCAGAAATCACAATTGATCTTGCACCTGGGTATGGCAATACTGATTCTGAAGTTGTAATCTGCAAAATACAAGCCTGTAGATCTCAGACACTGACTCAGTATATGCTGTGTATATGTTTCTTTTTAATTCATTACCAGGATGTGGACGTCCCTAATTGCCCTTGAGAAGATTGTGGTGAGCTGCTGTCTTAAACCGCTATTAGTTGGCCCACAATGTTGTTAAGGAGGGAATTCCAGGATTTTGACCAAGTGACAGTGAAGGGGCAGTGACATATTTCCAAGTCAGGATGGTAAATGGCTTAGGGGGACTTGGTGTTCCTTTGTATCTGCTGTCCAAATCCTTTAGATGATAGTGGTTGTGGGTTTGGAAGATGATGTCTAAGGAACCTTGGTGAATTTCTGCAGTGCATCTTGTAGATGGTACACACTGCTAGGGGAATGGGTTAACTTGGTTAGTTGGATAGCTGGTTTGTAATGCAGAGTGATGCCAAATACAATGGAATCTTAAGAATCCCTACAATGTGGAAACAGGTTGTTCAGGCCAATGAGTCCACACCAACCCTTGAAAGAGCATCCTCCCCGTCCCTGTCCCCAATTCCTGTAACCCTGCATTTCCCCTGGCTAACGCATCTCACCTACGTATCCCTGAACACAACAGGTAATTTAGCCTGGCCAATCCACTTAAGTTGCATATCTCTGGACTGTGGGAGGAAATCAGAGCACCCGGCGGAAACTCACGCGGACACGGGGAGAAAGTGCAAACTCCATACAGACAGTCGCCCGAGAATGGAATCGAACCCGGGTCCCTGGCACTGTGAGGCAGCAGTGCTAACCACTGAGCCGCCTTTCCCAAACCTGTTTGAAGTCCATGAAGGTTTCTGTTTCTCAACCTGTTCCCTCACCTGGGTCACCCTCCTGTTAAATGACCACCAGTTGTCTCTGTCTAATGACAGAGCAGACCTATGGTCTGGCAAGACTATGGCAACTTTACCATTTCCCACACTGGTTCCACATCCACAAACATTCATTCCCTTCACCACCAAAGCAGCAATGTGTCTGCTTTATCCCAGATATAGTGTTGATTTTACAAAGTAAGTTGCAGGGGCTGCAGGTATTTGTTCTGCCAACCATTCACATTTTGAATTATTTTTGATGATCGGTCACTACCCCATAGCATCCTTGGATATTTTTTAAACACCCATGTAGAGTATTGATAAAATTAGAAATTCTTTTGTCGTCTTAAAGATGATAATTTTACTGAAGTGTGAGATTGATAAAATAATGGTGCTTTGCTGAACATCAGCTCGCATTGTGGATATTTCAGTGAATACAAAGAAAGCAGCCTTGATTTTTACAGAGTGCGTGCGCGTGGGAATGTTTGCATCAGCCGAGTAACAGGCACCTTATTCAGATAGGTCAGGGATGTGGGTGTCTGCTAATGTTAATGATATTGCCTTAAGTAAGTAAAACTTCCCAGAGTCCAGACAGCTGATCAGATTCACCATCTCGTGAATCTTAAGTGCACCCCAGAATGCTTTATAACAGGAAAGTTGAAGTCATAAATTATAGTGATTTACCTTTGTTTTGACTCATTCATTCAAGGGATGAGGGTCAGGCCAGCATTTGTTGCCTATATATTGCCTAGAGGGCAGTTGAGAGTCAACCACATTACTGTGGATCTGGAGTCAGATGTAGTCCAGACTAGGTAAGGATGGTAGTTTCCTTCTCTAAAGGACATTAGTGAATGAGATGGATTTTTCCAGCAATTGTTAGACTCTTAATTCCAGATTTTTATTGGATTCAAATTCCACCATCTACTGTAGCGGGATTTGAACCCAGATTCCCAGAACGTTCTCTGGATTAACGGTCCAGCGATAATACCACTAGGTCATTCCCTTCTCTTCACTACTACGGTGTGTAGTTTAATTCAAAGCTTTTAATAATGAGGAAACAATAAAAACGTTTTAAAATTTATTTGTTTGTGGGATATGGGCAATTGAGTGTCAAACATGTTATGGTGAATCTGGAGTCGTGTGTGAGCCGGATAAGGTGATGAGGATATTGGTAAACCAGATAGGATTTTATAACAGTCGACACTGGTTACCTGGCTGCCATTTAATTAGAGATAGTAGGAACTGCAGATGCTGGAGAATCCGAGACAAGGTGCAGGGCTGGATGTACACGGCAGGCTGAGCAGCATCATCGGAGCAGAAAGGCTGACGTTTCAGGCCTAGACCCTTCATTAGAAAAGGGTCTGATGAAGGGTCTAGGCCCGAAACGTCAGCCTTTCTGCTCCTATGATGCTGCTTGGCCTGCTGTGTTCATCCAGCCCTGCACCTTGTCTCGGATTCTCCAGCATCTGCAGTTCCTACTATCTCTGCCACTTAATTAGCTTTTTATTCCAGACTTTATTATTAAATTTAAATCTCACCATTGGTCATGATGGGATTTAAACTCATGTATTGTCTTCCAGTTTTTTGTAGTCATGGGTTGAAATTTATTTCATAATACCTTTTAACAATTTGAAGGTTCAACATGGAGCACTTCTAAAAACAAATGTATTTCAACAAAAGTATCAGTCGTTACACCTGCTGGAAATCCGGATTTTAATTTTTTTTCAATTCTACGTAGGCACATTGGATTAACAGAAGTAATCGACCACCTCAAACCTGGCCTTTGGAAGGCAAGATAGAATTTGTAAACTACGGTTTACGGTATAGAGAAGATCTTGACTTGGCATTGAAAGATATTACCGTATCCATAAATGGAGGGGAAAAGGTGAGTGATCGAACTCTGATCGCCAACACTGTTCAGTAAAAGCAATATTTAGCTGAATTGGTGACAATGCTTAAAACTTGACTTTGACATTAAACATCATTCAATACAGGCTAACTTTCGATTTTGGTAACTACTGGCTTTGTTCAACTTCTAATTCATTTTTACCATCTGCGTATTGTATTTCTTGAGGCATGTGTTTTAATTACGTTTGTCAATTGATGCTTTGCATCAACTCCATTTGTACAGTATAAATTCTGTTGAAAATTATGTGTTTTGGGCCATTTTTTACAGATGGTTTGTAGCTTAATGAAGAGAGTTACAATGTGAATTGTGACAGATTGTAAGTCTGTTTCCATTACCCCTATGTAATCTCCTTCTATTAATAATTCATAGCAAGTGGTTTGTGTTTTCTTTCCTTACAAGCATACTTTTCCCTTGTGTAGATAGCTCCAAAGTATGCTTGCAAATTCTAACAAATGTAAAACTGGCAATGTTTGTGAAGAGAGGAAAGTTAATTAATTACTGAAATTCTGAAAACAGTTTCAGAAAACAAGAAAACATGCTTAATACCAAGTCTTGAAGGGATCAAAGAAATTTGAATATTGCCATTTTCCTTTAAATACATGTCTACTTTTGTGTTATTGTTACAGCTAAGATTAAAAGAAGTTTTACTTTCTTAGATCAGATTTAAATATGTTGTTACGACACTCAAAGTTATCTTGGATTTTTCATATTTATTTGTGAATGTAGTGTTTTAAATTCCATTGGAAATCTTCTGCAGGTTGGAATAGTTGGAAGAACAGGAGCTGGTAAATCTTCATTTGCACTTGGTCTGTTTCGTATAATTGAAGCTGCTGAAGGGCAAATCTATATTGATGGAATTGACATTGCAAAAATAGGTCTTCATGATCTCAGGTTTCAGATTACCATCATACCTCAGGTACATAATTGCAGTTTGAGTTTATTTGAAGTATAGTTATATTTAGTAAATTTGATCTACAAAATGTTACGCAATAAACCTTACAACTGATCCAGAGCCATATGAATTATATCAGGACCCAGTCTTGTTTGCTGGTTCACTTCGAATGAATTTGGATCCCTTTGACCAGTACCCTGATGCAGATTTATGGACAGCTTTGGAACTGGCTCACCTCAAAACCTTTGTGTCTGGCCTTCCTGATACGCTGAATCATGAATGTTCTGAAGGTGGAGATAATCTCAGGTAAAATGCAATGATCTGCTTTAAAAACAAAGTAGAAATTGATTCCACCTAATTCATTTTGCATTAGATAAGTTTATTAAAAATGACACTGAATGATACTTGCAGTTTTCATGAAAATAAAACAGAATTGTGAATGCTGGAAATGCTACAAGAGCAGGCCAGAAGTTAGGAATACTGCGGTGAGTAACTCTCCTCCTGACTCCCCAAAACCTGTCCACCATCTACAAGACACAAGTAAGGAGTGTGATGGAATACTCCCCACTTGCCTGGATGGGTGCAGCCCCAACAACACTCAAGAAGCTTGACACCATCCAGGACAAAGCAGCCCACTGGCTGGCACTACATCCAAGAGTATTCACTCCCTCCACCACCGACGCTCAGTAGCAGCAGTGTGTACTATCTACAAGATGCACTGCAGAAACTCACCAAAACTCCTCAGACAGCACCTTCCAAACCGATGACCACTTCCATCTGGAAGGACAAGGCCAGCAGATATATGGGAACACCACCCCCTGCAAATTCCCTTCCAAGCTACTCACCATCCTTACTTGGAAATATATTGCTGTTCCTTCACTGTCGATGGGTCAAAATCCTGGAATTCCCTCCCTAAGGGCATTGGGGTCAACCCACAGCAGGAGGACGACAGTGGTTCAAGAAGGCAGCTCACCACCAGCTCTCAAGGGCAACTAGGGATGGGCAAGAAACACAATCCCACATCCCACAAATGAATAGGGGGAAAAAAAATCTGAAACAAAAACAAAGTGCTGGAGGAACTCAGCGTGTCTGGTAGCATCTGTGGAGAGAGAAAAAGAGTTAGCATTTCAATAGTGTTAGTGTTTCTTCAGAACACTTTAATTTTAGATCTCCAGCATGGCCAGTATTTTGCTTTTATTTGAGTGTTTAATTCACTGCCACTTTGAAGTCCTGTATTCTGTCTGACAAGATTTCCATTTTAATCTTTTGACATTTTCATCTTCAAAGATTGGAATAGCTTTACACTTCCAGAGAAAGGGGAAAGTTGTATGTCACTACAATGAAGAAATGTTGAGACATACACTGCATTGTGTTTCAATAACTTAATGGCAACATGTCCGTCTACTTCGGCAAGTCAAAGAAATTGGCATTTTATAAAAGGGGAAGATAAAATGAGGGGGCATAGATTTAAAGTGATGTGTAAACAAAGCAGGGGTGAAGTGAGATAAAAGCTTTCACATACAATGAGTAATTAGTGTCTGGAATGCATGGCCTGAAAACGTGGCAGCACAGGCTAAGTTGAGACAATTCAAGAGAGCTTTGGATGATTTATTTGAATAGAATTATTGTGCAGGGATATGAGGGAAAAGGCAGGAGATTGGTACATGATACTAGAACCAGTACAGTTACAATGGACCAAATGGCTGTCTCCTGCACTGTAACAATCCTGTGATGTCAGACATCGAATTCTGTTTACTCTCTTGCTGTTAATGTGCTGAGCTAGAAAACTGATGTGATCCAAGCGTTTGGTTTCTGCAGTTCTTGTGCTGAAGTTACAGCAGACCAGCAGGAGAAACTCCAGAAATTCTCTGTCAACATTGCAATACTTTGATCTTGCCACACTAATTTTAGTCAGAAAGGCACTGTTTATATTCCGATTCAGAATGAGTATCCCATCAAGGCACTGTATGAAGTCCAACATTGCAATATTTTGTAATTTCAGTGTTGGACAGCGACAGCTGCTTTGTTTAGCACGAGCACTGCTCCGGAAGTCGAAAATACTAGTTCTTGATGAAGCTACAGCTGCAGTGGATCTAGAAACGGATGAGCTCATCCAGTCAACAATAAGAAACCAGTTTGCTGACTGTACAGTGCTCACGATAGCCCATCGTCTTAAAACCATTATGGATTACACACGGTAATGTCAAATTTATGTTGCAATTGATCTCACTCAAATTTGTTGGATATTTGCAAATGGCATTGTAACGAATCCATGTTCTGATTTATGACACTAATTGAGGATCAAAGGAAGTAATGTTTGTCCATCTGGCCAGTTACAATTCTTCGAGTTGATCTACTGTAACTTCTCTGGGGTTATATCATCGGAGCTCAGTCTGTATAATGAAGGAAGGATGAGGTTGTATACATGCTCGCCAAGCTGGTGGTTTTGATTGCAAATGTTTTGTCACCCTGCTAGGTAACGTGGTCAGTGTGCCTCCGATGAAGTGTTGGTGTTCTGTCCCACTTGTTATTTATATGTCTTGGTTTGTTGGGGTGGTTGGTACCACTTCCGGTTCTGTTTCTGTGGTTTGACTTCGACCCTGTGTACAATGTGTTTGTTGATGGAGTTCCGGTTAAAATACCAGGCCTCCAGGAATTCCCTGGTGTGTCTCTGTTTGGTTTGTGTGATTATGGATGTGTTGTCCCAGTCAAATTTGCGTTTTTTGTTGCCACTGTGTAGTGAGAATTGGTCGTGTCTCTTGGTGGCTGGTTGGTGTTCTTGTATCCATATTGTCAGTTTTCTTCCGGTTTGGCCTATGTAATGTTTCTCACAGTCCTTGCCTGGTATTTTATATATTATACTGGTTTTGGATATGGGATCCTTAACGTTCGTCAGTAGCTGTAGTAGGGTGGCTGGAAGTGGTACCAAACACCCCAACAAACTGAGGCATATAAATAACAAGCGGGACAGAACACCAACTCTTCACCAGAGGTGCACTGACAATGTTACCTAGCAGGGTGATGAAACATTTGCAACCAAACACACCGGCTCGGCGAACAAGTCTACAACCTCATCCACAACACGAGCTACAAATCTCAAAAACTTTAATGAAGGAAGGACTCTGCTTCTGGTTTCCTCTCTGTGTCCACCTTATCTGATGAGAACAACAGGTTGTTATTGAAACCTGAGGGATGATGGTGCATCAGCTGGTCAGTCCCCAATCTGATGCTACCTCCCTACCTGCTCTGTGTCTGCTGAATGGACTGCAGTTAAAATTACCTCTTAAGTCACTTGGACTTATCAAGAGTCAACTGTAAATCCCTCTTCATTTAAAATCTTTTAATACTTTTAAATTATCCAATAACGTGAATAATCATACAATATAAAAAAGGCCCTTCAGCCCATTAAGTCTGTACTTACGGTGGCTTAGCGGTTAGCACTGTTGTTTCTCAGTGCCAGGCATCTGGGTTCAATTCCACCCTCGGGCAACTGTCTGTGTGGAGTTTGCATGTTCTCCCAATGTCTGCATGAGTTTCCTCCAGGTGCTCCGATTTCCTCCTATAGCCCAAGGATGAGTAGGATAGGTGGATTTGCCATGGGAAATGCAGATTTACATGGATTGGATGGGATGTTCTTCGGATGGTCAGTTTGGACTTGATGGGCCGAATGGTCTGCTTCCACACTGTAGGGATTCTATGATTCTAAGAAAACTATTCTAAATCTGCACTAGTCACATTTTCCTGCACTGGGCCCATAGCGTTGCGTGTTATGACATTTCAAGTGCTCATCCATGTACTTTTTGTTTTAAAGGTTTGAGGTTTCCTGCCTCAACTACCCTCCCAGGCAGTGCATTCCAGATTCCTACTGTTCTCTGGGTGAAAAACAAATTCCTCAAATCCCCTCTAAAGCTCCTGCCTTTCTCTTTAAAATTACGTCCCTTTTTTATATGCCCCCTTGTTATTGACACTTGGAGTAAGAGGAACTGCTGTTTCCTATCTACCTTTTACCATGCCGCTCATAATCTTATACAGGTTGTCTCTCTGCTTTCTCTTCTCCAAAGGAAACAACCCCAGCTTATCCAGCCTCTCTTCATTGCTGAAATGCTCCATCCCAGACAACAACATGGCGAAAACTGAAAGAGCTGCGGATGCTGTGAATCAGGAACAAAAACAGAAGTTGCTGGAAAAGCTCAGCAGGTCTGGCAGCATCTGTGAAGGAGAAAAATAGGGTTAACATTTCGGGTCCGGTTCTGAGGAAGGGTCACCGGACCCGAAACATTAACTCTTT